TGCCTAGCTAGGTAGCCGAATTCGGACCGAATGAGGCTTAGATAGTCACCAGCAAGTGTGGTTTCCAAACTACCGCCTAAGTCGGAAGCCAAGTTAGGCCCAAACTCGCGACTGCGTTACTTCCGGGACGTGGGCCAACTTTGGCTTCCTGATTCGGCGCGAGCTTGGAACTCGGCATGCCTAATTCGGAACGAACCACCGCCGGACTTAAATTTCTAGTCGGGTAGATTTTTATGGATGAGATAAGTTTTCATATTGAACCTCATTTCATTTGTTTTATTTTTGGGCTTTTAAATGCATTGAAAGAAAGATTATTTGATTCTATAAAAATATTTTGTACAAAATTTGAATCTTGTTTCAAAATATTCAATTCTCTCTTCATTCAAGAAATCAACTTTTAATATAATAAATTATATTTTTTGGATAAAGAATAGAATATTCTCCATTCAAGTAAAATACTATCATATTCAAAAATGAAGAATACATATTTCTTCAAAAATTATCTTCGTTCACAATAATTGGTCATATTATGTTGTCGAGCTAGGTTGGTATACAACTAAAAAAAATTTTCGAATTTTTGTTACTTTTTGATGTATTCTAAAAAAAAGTTTCAAATAATTTCCGGAATTCGTTGAAACGAAAATTCTGCCTTTTTTTTTAAGGAGATATTATTTTTTTGATTTTAAGTGATAATATTTTGAATAAAGAAACGATGACTTTGAATGGTTATATAATGAGAGGAAAATTATTCTTGGATGAAGAATTTAATTTAACTGTGTCGATTAAAGAAAACTTACTTTTCAATCAAAACTAGATAACTATCAGTCGGACACAAAAAATCTTAATTCAAGAATTGAAAAACCAAGAGAGTAAATTCTTAAATCAAGACTTCAAAATAATTTTATTGTTTTAAATTTACTTCTCTTAAATCAAGTTATTTTTTTTAGACACCAGTGTCTGAAAGAAAAAAGAACGCACTTATGTCAAAATTTTTTTCATTAAAAACTTCTCTAATGTAAAAATTTTTTTCAGCCCTTCGTGCATTTTTTCAATCAAATATAATTTCTTTTTAACTCTTCCAATACTATTAATTTTGAAAACCTATAAAATATGTATAGTAAATGTACGTTGCGTGCTTAAAATAAAAACAATTCAAACGTACATGTAAAACACTTTATTTGGATCTTAAATAATTGTTCTATTGAATAAGAAATGAATTTACCATCTGCAGAAGAGCAAACAAAGTACGTATTTTACGATAGAAATTATGATCTTGTAGTGGCCAAAGACCGATGACAGATGTTAAGAATTCATATATGTAAAACTCTTTTTTCGCCAGTTCATTTCTTTTCTTAGAAGAGTATATATCCATATCCTTTCGCTGAAGCGAAAAAGTTTCGTGTATGCAGTTTTACAAAGAACAATATTATTCTTAGATACAACGATTGGTTTTGCTCTATAACTAATAATTTCATTTATTTTTGTATGCACAGTAAATCATTAGAAAAACATAATTTATTCATCGATAAGTAGGGGTGAGCATGATATCCCAGCTTATCATTTATTCATAATGGAGCAACCCTTCCGAGAGTATGTAAAGACGATAAATTTATCTATTTCTTTAGAAAAAGAGTTTACCTCTTTTTACCAATTTCTTTGGTATTATATTTAGTGAAATTTTATTCTCAATGTATTTTTATTATAAGTAGAATTTGTTTTCACTAATGTAGATACGATTTTTGTATTCCAAGTTATATGTCAGTTTTATACATACTTCAAGCGAAGTAAGCGATTAAATAAAAGTTCTCTTCGCAATAATAAATTAAGAAATAATATAATTAATGACATAATGTTAATTTGTACATTTAATTTTGGTGATCTGAAAATTGAGTATATTTGAGAACATATATTTAAGAAATTAAAAATGATCACAAAAAAGAGGCACTATTTTTAACACGATTTTTAAAAATCAAATTTTTTTTCAGTTTTCGAAGTTTTAATAACACGCTAGTGGAGTCATTATGGTTTATAACTTTCAAAGAAAAATTTTTTTTACATTTTTCGAAAGTAAATATAGCTCAAAGTATTTTGTGCTAAAATTTCCAAGTTATCGGTCTACTGTAACTGTATTATTTTGCAATGCTTATGTGGATGTTCAAGGGGAAGAAAATTAAATTTTTGAAAAAACTAAAGGAGTCTTATATAGTGCCGGTATCGCTCGTTGACAGGTAAGATTAATTTTTTTTATTAAAAAAACTTTAGACGCGTTTATCTCAGAACTATGTTCTTCTGGTTGACGTACATGAAATATCCGGAACCACTGCCCCAACCTTAATGAAATTTAAACCTCATATTCCGTAAAGTAGTAGCTATTGCATCAATTACAACCAAATCAAAATTTTGGTTTTTAATATTTTTTTAGGACTAAAAACTGTGAAAAAAACCTCATTTTTCAATTTTTTTATCAAATGACCGCTATTTTGTTATTTATCAATAAATATTAATCTCCGTAGCTGGTGCAATAATTACTTATATATTGAAGGTAAATAATTTTAGTTTTTGTGTTTTAGATGAACCGTTATCAAGTTATCATGTACGTCAGCGACATACCAACTTTTGGAAAAGCTCCGTTCATTCGTTGTTTATTCATATAAGAAATATAAGTAAAAAATAAATTTAAATATTTTTTGTGTTATTCAAGAGTGTATCTTTTAGGTAATAATAATCTGTTGAACTGAATAAATTTTATAGTAATAAATATAATAGTTTCTGTGTAAAAGAAAAAATGAACATTGGCTTTTTTTCGAGTACCGGAACCAGAATGACCCTTTCAAATTAAAATATTACTTTATGAGATTTAATGCAGAGTAAGAAAAATTAAAAAAAAAATTATTTCTTAAACAATAAAATAACAGATTGTAATTTAAATAAAAAAAAAAAAAAATTTTTTTATACAAAATAAAATAAATATTACAAGAGCAAATATTTTTGAAAAATTATGTAGTCAATCGAATGAAAACTAACGATAATTTTCTTCTTTAATGCAAGAAATAAACTTTGATTATTTTTTACAAATCAGTGAATCTAGAAATCAAACTGAACTTTAAAGCAATGTAAAAATTAAAAATAAACTTCACGCGACCTCAAAAATATAATTAATTTTAATGTTCACCTCCTGTATACTTCCTGAGTTTATTTTTTTCGACAACATTGTATTAATACGTACAATAAGAAGAATACAATACCTATACAATTATCTTGTTTTTAGTGTATATTTATATTGACCGTGAAAAGAGAAAGGCTATATTACGTGTAATTCATTCAATTGCTTTATATATATTGGAGCCTACGAGACTTAAATGAAACTAGTTTTGTCCAAACGTTAAGACGTGATACTACGTTTCAATAACATTTTCATCGCGTACGATTCGTAATTTAATTTTTGAGTTACAAATAATTACTTTAATAATTTTATTAAATTTCTTCATTCTGAAACAGTATTTTTAATTATTAATTGTTGATAATAATTATGAAATTACATATATTAACTGGATTTTTGTATATACTACTTCTTATAACATGTGAGTAAAATTTTTTAATGTATCATAATTTTTAAAGTTTTTGAAATAAACTTGAATCAATCATTTTTAACCCCATAGTTTCCAAAATTTTTAATAAAATTCAGTTTTATTTAATAATTACATTTTCCAACAAATTAAAAAAAAAATTTTAAATCCACTAAATACAGTGTCTCTTAAAACTTACATCAAATTGTGGAATCTAAAACTCATAAAAGTGAAATCGACAAACATTTAATTTTTTACCATACTTCCAATTTTATTTTATTTAACTCATTTCGTACTTACATAAATCTAGAAAGTGTTTACGATAAATATCATTCTATCTATACTTTAATGTATAAAATTTAGTAGAAAATATTTTGTATTTGTGATTTTATTACAACAAAGATTTTTTTCCGATTTTATAAAATTAACAAATGATAAATTGTCTGAGCATGCAAAAAACTTGATATACATTTCTTCTTTTCAAGTACATGTTACAACTAACAACTGAAAAAAGTTTTTAAATTAATAACATTTGTCATAAATCATAACCTTTATTTTCAAAAACCAAATTCAAATTACTACACTGAGAAAATAAATTTTTTTTGAAAAAAAATGAGCAATGTTGTATAATAAATCAATTTCTTGAAAATTTTGAACAAATTTATTTCTTAGCTGAAGAAATAAAAATTTTTCTCACAGTAAGTTTCTTGTTGAAAAAAAGTCTTTTTGATTTGAAAAAAAAAAAAAAATTTATTTAGACAACTTACAAATTATTTAAATTCCATTTAAAATTATTTTTTTTCCCGAATCCAAAAAAAAAATTTTTTTTCAACAAGAAAGTTATTGTGAAAAAATTTTTGATTTTTTCAGCTAAGAAATAAAATTTTCAACGAATGAACTTCTTATTACAACATTGCTCATTTTTTTCCCCAGTATACTAGCTAATAATGTTAGAAAATTTATTAAAATTAATTACTTAAGTTATCCAAATTCAGATCCATAATAAATAATTACAATGACGTTCTAATTAAAAAATAGTCTAACTCCATATGTTTTAGGAGATGATTTTTTGATATTTTCAGATAGCAATAGTCCAAATCCAAATTATTTGGATAACTTAAACAAAAACATTATAAATATAACAGATAATGAATAGATTTTAAATAAAAAATAAATTTTTAATTTACTATTTCTTCGCATAAATAAAAGATTTTCTAAAATTGTGTTAGATAATTTTCTAATTAGAACGTCGACAAGGAAATTTTAAATTTGTAAGAATCAACTTCTGTATTAGTTAATTTTTGTATTTATGTTATAAAAATTTCTAGGGTCTGATGAAAATATTAATGACAAAACATTGCTTAATGAAAAAATAAAAATCAACCAACAACACAGAATTCGATCTTAACAACCTGAAAATGTTCTTATAATTAATTAATAAATAAAGCACAAACCAGAAAAATCAAGTGGATCCAAAGCCGCAGTAGCCAAACTTTGCCATTGAAATTGCTGAATATCATCAGGATTGCTTATCTGCCTAGCAACTTGTGGATTAACAGCATGAGCTATTTTAATAGTCGGCAGGACAGTGATGTGTTCACCAGCAATTGAAATATTATACATAGCAAGAATAGACGACCAGTGATAAAGTGACAGCCGGTTCCACGGCGGAAAATCAACAAGTTTCAATTTGTTTAATTCTTCTGTTATATTATTTGTATCATGTCCTCGATTATTGTTGTTGGTACCAACACTTTGACTAAAATTATTATTATCATCATTGTTACTATTATTTATAAAATTAATATTGTTACTATTATTAAACACACTAGGCAAGATAGTTGTCGCGATAACAGGTTTTGTGGTTTTGAGCTCAACGTAATTTTTAAAGGTACGCGGCCTATCAACCGTGTACCCGTACATCTCCGAGTCAGATTTCAGCGTATCGCTGAGGTGTATCAAGTGTTCTATTATCCCCGAGTTGTAAATTATCATACTAATCCACACAACCATCCAGACCATAAACGCACGTTGGAAAATCCTGGTACGTGCCCAAAAATGCACTAATCTCAGTCGCTTCGGTATTTTCACCAGCGTGTAAGTATTTTGCGACGTCGGCGCTATTACGTTCGTTGGTCCGGATGAGGTCATGCCGTTTAGCCGTGGGTGAGACTTTGAGCGAATTATATTCGGCTTTTTATTGCTGTGGTTTATAATCGTCGAGGAAAATTGCTGCTTGCGCATTGACGGGAAGTTTGTGAAGTGAAATTTTGTGTTGTCGCTGGAAAACTCGGTTCGTCGGATGTCGACGGCCAGGATGGTTGAGAAAAAAACCATTTGCAGGAAAAAATCATTTAACAAACCGACGATAGCAAATATGCAAAATTCCTGGATCGCTGGCACGAATGTAAAGAGACCGATGGTTAAAATCGTTACCTCGGTTAACAGATTCTTGGTTATCGACCAACCTTCCTTGGACAGTCCTTGGGCTACTCGGATCTTTACGTCCAAGTGAGCTGGCGTGCTGACTACGCTCTTTGTTAATATAAGGACGTTTTCTAGTCCCACTATTATCACCAGGTAGGGAAATACTTCCTTGCCACTGAGACTGAGGGTCAGTCCGAAAAAAAAACATATTCCCACGGTCATTGACAGCGATGATATTACCGTGAATGTTGCGCTGAATGCCACCCCGACTTTCGACTTTATTAATTCCATTTTACGGACTGAGAAGTACACATAGAAAAATAAAGCGAAGAATGTCATCATCAAGGGAAAAAAGTCGCTGTAATTAAATTCCCCGGGATAGAATATGTGAAGTGTCTCATCAGGAGGCAAGCTTGTGTTGCCGAGTTTTTCTTTTGATTGGTGGAGGTTGTAGTATATTGTTAGACGATTTTTTAAACCTTCAATGAACCTAAATAATTAAATACATTATTGTTAATAAATATTATTCGCAAAAATTTATTTTAGTGATAAATTAAATTAATTACCTTGGATTATATTCTTTAAGAAAAATAGTGACTGCAAATTGCAGTATTCTTTGTCTAACACGCACTGGATAACGTCTTACTCCAGTTTCTTTTAAATTCATACCAAAAACCATTTCCGCAAGACTTATTTTGCCCTTCTGAAGATTCTGTTGGCAGAAAAAACCCTCAATTAATTTAGCTCTGGAAAAATTCATTACTGTATAATTTTTATAATCAAATTTATAAAAACATATTTCAATTCTTACCTGGTAAGAAAATATTGTACCCAAAATATCAGTGTCGCGGTTGAACATTTCAATGCTCTGTTGCCATAAATTTGCCGGTGACAATACAAGACAATTGTACTCGGGTAATATTTCTGATTTTTTATAGTTTCTTTTTTTGACAGCCTCTATGTGAAGACACACATTACCCAGAGTTTTTAGTCTACAAAAAATTTTTCTAATAAAATCAGGGATCTGGTGATTTAATTACGGGGGGAAGTCCATGTAAAATTAAAAAAAAAATCAATTTTTTTTTTTCAATATAGTATGTAAAGCATGTACTGACGAGAGGATAAAATAAAATCTTGAATATTGACGAAGTTATAGCTATTATAATGGAGCGGCCGGAGTGCGTATTGTAGTTCGTACTATAACTTTAAACGCTATTATCTTGAAACTGAATTTTTAAAAATTGCTCGTGTTGTAACTCAAAAAGTTATGGATCACAAAAGTAGATTTTTTGGCCGTGAGTCAATTTTCCTTGGGTTTGACTTACTTTCAATCATTTTTCAAGGTCATACGAAGTGGAAATAGGCTCGATAAAAATCAAGAGGAAATAAAAATGACTCAGGAGCTCACCTCTGATTTCATGAGGCCATAAAAGAATTTGAGGGCATAATGAAACCTGAATTTTTGAGCCTAACTTCATTTTCCTTCGGTATGACATACTTTTTTAATATTTCAAGGTCATGCAAGGTCCAAATAGCGTTAATGAATAATGAGAGGGACGGAGGATAACTTAGTAGGTACCCCGTAATTTAATAAGACGATGAAAATATTTTAGGGCAATAAAAACCTGATTTTTTGAGCCTAAATCCAGTATCCTTCGCTTTGACATACTATTCTTAATATTTCAAGGTCAGGCTAGGTCAAAGTAGGTTCACTAAAAATTCAGAGTGACATTGGATGACAAATAAGAAACCTTGTAATTTTTAAAGACCATAAAAAAATTTTAGGGCACTGAAAAACCAGATTTTTTGTGCCTTTATCGATAATACTTGTGTTTGACATACTTTTACTGATGTTTCTAAGTCCTTTAAGGTCAGAATAAGTTCATCGAAATTTCAGAAAGTCGGCGGATCACTCAGGAGATACCTAGTAATTTTATTAGTCCGAAAAAAAATTTGAGCGCACAAAAAACGTGATTGTTTGGGCCTAAATCAATTTAACCCGCAATTTACCTAGCAATATTGATTTTTCAAAGACATACGAGGTAAATAAAGGCTCAAGAAAAATTGAAAGTGAGGAATGACGACTAAGGAGATACCCTGTAATTTTATAAGACCATAAAGATATTTAAGGGCATAAGAAACCTGATTTTTTAGGCCTTAATCAATTTTACTTGAGTTCGAACTACCTTTTGTATTTTTCAAGGTCATACAAGGTCAAAATAAGTTTACTAAATATTGAGAGGGGCGAGAGAGGACACAGGAGGTGCACTGTAATTTTGAAGGGCCATAACAAAATTTTAAGGGATCAAGAATCCTGATTTTTTGGGCATAAATCGATTATCCATTGTATTGACATACTTTTCTTACTATTTCAAGGTCATGCATGGTCAAAATAGGTATAATAAATATTAAGAGGGACGCAAGATAACTCAGATAGTACCCTGTAATTTCATAAAACTAAAGAATAATTTAAGGGCATGAAACAACCTGATTTTGTGGGCCTCAATCTATAATACTTGTGGTTGACCTACTTGTTTTGATTTTTCGAGGTCCTACAAGATCAGGATAATTTCATTGAAAATATAGAGGGTCGGAAAATTACTTAGGATAAACCTTGAATTTTTATTAGACCAAAAACAAATTTAAGGGCACAAAAAACGTGATTTTTTGGGCCTAAATCAATTTAACAGACAATTTACATAGTTTTATCGATTTTTCAAGATTAAACAAGGTGAATATAGGCTCAATAAATAATAAGAGTGAAGGAAAACGACTGAAATGATACCCTGTAATTTTATAAGACCATAAAAATATTTAACGGCATAAAAAACCTGATTTTTGGGACCTAAATCCATTATCCTTCGGTTTGACATACTTTTTTGAAATTTAAAGGTTATGCAAGGTCTGAATAGGTTTAATAAATATTGAGAAGGACGGGATAACTTAGAAGGTACCCTGTAATTTTATGACATTATAATTATAAACAATAATTAAAGGTCATTAAAAAACCTGATTTTTTGGGCCTTAATCAATTTTACTTGAGTTCGATTGACCTTTTTATATTTTTCCAGGTCATTCAATGTCAAAATAGGTTTTCTAAATATTGAGAGGGTCGGAAGATTACACAGGAGGTGCCCTGTGATATTTGAGGGCCATAAAAGAATCTTAAGGCATTAAGAATCCTGATTTTTTGGGCCTAAATCGACTATCCTTCGGTTTGACATAGTTCTTTTAATAATTGAAGTTCATGCAAGGTCAAAATAGGTTTAGTAAATATCGAGAGGGACGGAGGATAACTCAGGAGGTACCCGCTTATTTTATAAGAGCAAAAAAATGATTTAAGGACTTGAAAAAACATGATTTTTTGGGAATAAATCAAGTTTACTCTAGTTCAACCTAATTTCATTAATTTTTCAAGGGTATCTAATGTCAAAATAGGTCAAATAAAAATTCAGAGAGACAGTGAATGGCTTAGAAGGTAGTCATTAATTTTTACGGACCATAAAATAATTTAAGGTCATAACAAAAACGGACTTGTTTGGCCTGAGTGTATTATCCATGGGTTCGACTTACTTTCAATCATTTTTCAAGGTCGCACAAAGTGGAAATAGGCTCGATTAAAATTAATAGGAAATGAAAATGACTCAGGAGCTACCCTCTGATTTTATATGGTTATAAAAGAATTTGAGGGCATAATAAAACCTGAATTTTTAAGGCCAAATTCATTATCCTTTGGTTTGACATACTTTTTTAATATTTCAAGGTCATTCAAGCTCAACTAGGTTCCCCAAAAATTCAGAGTGACATTGGATGACCAATAAGGAACCCTGTACTTTTTAGAGACCATAAACAAATTTTAGGGCTTAAAAAAACCTGATTTTTTGTGCCTTTATCGATAATACTTGTGTTTGACCTACTTTTATCGATTGTTCTAGGTCCTACAAGGTCAGAATAAGTTCATCGAAAATTCCGAAAGTCAGAGGATCACTCAGGAGAAACCTTGTAATCTTATTAGACCAAAAACAAATTTGAGGGCACAAAAAACGTGATTTTTTGGGCCTAAATCAATTTTACTCGCAATTTACCTAGCTTTATTTATTTTTCGAGGTCATATAAGGTAAATAAAAGCTTAAGAAAAATTGAAAGGGAGGAATGACGACTGAAAAGATACCCTGTAATTTTATAAGACCATAAAAATATTTAAGGGCGTCAAAAACTGATTTATTAGGCCTAAACCTATTATCCTTCGGTTCGACATACTTTTCTTGAAATTTGAAGGTCATGCAATGTCAAAATTGGTTTAATGAATAATAAGAGGGACGAAAGATAACTTAAAAGTTACCCTGTGATTTTATACGACGAAAAAATAATTTAAGGGCAATAAAAAACCTGATTTTTTGGGCCTCAATCCATTTTACTTGAGTTTGACCTAACTTTTCAAATTATTTAAGGTCATTCAAGGTCAAAATAGGTTCACTAAATATTAAGAGGGGTAAAAGATGACACAGGACGTGCCCTGAGATTTTTAAGCGTCATAAAAAAATTTTAATGCATCAAAAATCCTTATTATTTGGGCCTTAATCCATTATCCTTCGGTTTGACATACTTTTCTTAATATTTCAAGGGCATGTAAGGTCAAAATAGGTCTAATAAATCTTGAGAGGGACAGAGAATAACTCAGAAGGTACCTTGTAATTTTATGAAGCCAAAAAATAATTTAAGGGCATTAAAAAACCTGATTTTTTGGGCCTAAGTCAATTTTCTTTGGGGTTCACCTACATTCAGTAATTTTTCAATGTCATACGAGCACAGAATAGGTTCATGAAGAATTAAAATGGACGGAAAATAACTTAGAAGCTACCCTGTAATTTTATATGACGATAAAAAAATTTAAGGGCATAAAAAAACCTTATTTTCACGGCCTCAATCAATAATACTTAGGTTTGACCTACTTTTATTAATCTGTCAAGGTCATACAAGCTCAGAATAGGTTCATCAAGAATGACGATGGACGGAGGATAACTAAGAAGGTACCCTGTAATTTTATAAGACTATAAAATAATTTAAGGGAATATAGAAACCTTATTTTTAAGGCCTCAATCGATAATACTTGGGTTTGACCTACTTGTTTTGATTTTTCTAGGTCCTACAAGGTCTGAATAAGTTCATCGAAGTTTTAGAGGGTCGGAGAATTCGTTAAGAGGTACCTTGGAATTTTATTAGACCAAAAAAAAATTTGAGGGCATACAAAACCTGATGTGTTGGGCCTAAATCAATTTAACTCGAAATTTACGTAGTTTTATTGATTTTCAAGGTCAAACAAGGTGAATATAGGCTCAATAAAAATTAAGAGGGAAGAAAATTGAATGAGATATTCTGTAATTTTATAAGACTATAAAAATAATTAACGGCATTAAAAAACCTGATTTTAGGGGCCTAAACCTATTAGCCTTCGATTTAATATACTTTTCTTGACACTTAAAAGTCATGCAAGGGCAAAATAAGTTTAATGAATAATGAGAAGGACGGGAGATAACTTAGAAGATACCCTGTAATTTTAAAAGACTATAAAATATTTTAAGGGCATAAAGAAACCTGATTTTGAGGGCCTCAATCGATAATACTTGGATTTGACCTACTTGTTATGATTTTTCTAGGTCCTACAAGGTCAGAATAAGTTCATCGAAGATTTAGAGGGTCGAAGTATTACTCAGCAGGAACCTTGTATTTTTATTAGACCAAAAAAAAATTTGAGGGTATAAAGAAACCTGAATTTTTGAGCCATAATCGATAATACTTGTGTTCGACCTACTTTTATTCATTTTTTAAGGTCAAACGAGCTCAGAATAGGTTCATCTA